ACACAGGTCTCCTGCGAAGAATTGAACTGATAAGCACATGGAACTGGGGAGGAAACTAGGAAGATAGCACTGGCTGGACTGCCAAGACTTACCCAACCTGCTACAATCATCACAGCCAGAACCAAGCTTGTGCAGGGGTCCCAACCCACCTGGAGCACATGGCAGTGCCTGGTGCTGTGCAAAGGGATGGGGATGCAAAGAGGGAACAAACCAGACAAATGGAAGACCTGGCAATCTCAAGTGAATTTATATCCATCAGTGTATTTTGTAGTACTTAAAGTGAGAGGAAAATGGGAGGACTTCAGCAGAAAGAAGAGGCAGGAGTAATGGAGACTATGAAGTGCCAGACCAGGGCTCTGCTGGGTTCAGACCAGGGTGATGTGGCTCAACCTGAGCACCCTGCTGGGAACAGCTCCCAGGATGAGCCCCACAGGCAGATCCAGGCTCACACTTGTATGTCTAGGACAGTATCAGCTGAAACCCTGGGAGACCCAGGCTGGCCTCTGAATCCAGACAGCCTCCTGCGAGACGCAGGGACAAGATGGAGCACTCATTCCAAAGAACAAACAAAGGAGCATCCCAAAGATGCCTCTGCCTGTCAGCAAAGTCACCACCTGCAAGCACAGCATCCATAGCTGAAGACCACATCACTCACTGCCCACTCTGCACACAGATGATGACAGAGCCAAGAATAAAATCCCGTTCTTACACGTCTATAAACTCAACCTGAAACTTCCAAGTCAAATCCCCAGGCTCCCACCGCTTATCTGGAGCTGCAATTTGTGATTGTTGGCACTGCCCAGACCTGTCTGCAGGCAGCTGATTCCAAGCATTGAACTCTAAGCAGTCACAAAGTACGGGGTTGAGGCTTGCCATGCCAGCACAGTTATTCTCCCATTCCCATGCATGTACAACTCCACATTAACCCTGAAATCAATCTCCAGCACTCAGACTGGCACAAAATCTCACATGATGGCCTTTGGCAGGATTTAGGTAAAATGCTGCTGAGGTGTGGAATGTGAGATTCTCCACTGGGGTGAACAACACCCCAGAAGGGACCCAGGGATTAAGGACCCTGCTGCCAGCCTGGATGCGATGTGCAGAGTTTAGGGGTGATGCAGGGTCTCACATCCACATAATTGTTCTGATTCAGCTCAAAACCAAATGCTTTCAAACGCTCCTGGAGAGTCAAACAGATGGAAAATATCACTGGCACATCATCTTCTTTAGTCCAAAGCAAAATAGCCCATTTACACTCTTTTCCTGGCATGTGAAAAAACAACAAACTAACTGGTAAACATCATTCTTGCACATATAAACATCATTTCAATTACAAAACAACATTCAGTAAGAGACACACCCAAGACTTCTGCAGGGGTGTGGATATCTTAAGGGATGGTTTAACCTGAAATAATTAAGAGAACTCAAACCTCATCTTTCACTCAAAAAAAAAAAAGTTGACAGAAAACTGTCAGATCTCTCTCTAGCTCATGTGTGTTTGTGTGTTTGAGTGCACAGCCATGTGTACGTGTGCACATACACACATGAAAGTAAGGCAAGAAAGACAAGGCAGACCTTTCTTGGTCAGTAAATCAGTGGAGCTTTTTAATCTCATACCAATTTACGACATTAGGAATTTTGTGCCAGTAAAGCCACCCCTGAGCCAAGACTTAACCCTCTGCAACATCCAGATCTCTGACCCGTGGGAACCAACCTGCTGCTCCTCTATTAGCATTTAACAGTCACTACAGCACAAAAGTAAAATGCTCATCTAACTGAGCATGACGAGGAGTCAGCCCAGTAATGAATGGGTGCTGGGAAAAAGAAAAGAAGCCTTTGTGCCAGGTAGTGCAGGGGGGGCAACTCGTATGCCCAGCCCTGAGCTGGGAGCAGCTGGGGCTGCACAACTCCAGGACAGCCATGGGGCCAAGGCTCTGCCCAGCGAGGGTTGGCACAAAGAACTGGAGTGCACAGGACACTGCATACTGGTGTACTTGGACAGAGCAGCTCAGCAGCAGCAGCTGCATTTCCTCAGATGCACGGAGCAGTAACCTTCCCCCAGGGCTGGGAAAGCAGGAACACAATGCCTACCTATGCAAGCACTTAGGCTGCATTTTCACCACGCTCCAAAAGCAGAGTCAGAGAAAGATTTTTCCCAGGTTTGCCTTTATCAGTGCATCTCTAAAATGAACAGAGGGAAACAGTTTCAGTAGGGAGGTGTTGGCACAGCTTGTCCAGGTCATCTGGATCAAAAGTGTTAACATAAACAAAAATAGGTGCAGAGAAAAGCCAGAGGAAGAGGAAAGAGAAGACAGCTCATCCCAAAGCAGGGCCCACAGGCAGCTCCTGGTTGCACTCCCATCATGGAGAGCAAGGCTCGTAGGACTGCCACCAGGAGGACACTCGGGGCCCATCCGTTTGGACGTCATCATCTGGGAAATAAGTGATTTGAGCTGGTGGACAGAGCTGGTGCATGGAGAACAGGGATGAACCAGGCAGCAATAAACACAAGCTAGCAACCAAACATACCCACCCAAGAGAGAAGTTTGGTGGGCACACAGGAATGGCATATGTTGGGAGCAGAACCAGCAGGCAGGAAAATTTATTCCTTGCTGATGATCTCTGGTGAATGGAAAAATTGGGTTTGTGCTCCTTAACATGCTTTTCTGTTTAATTGAGAGAAAAATGCAGGTTTTGCCTAGAACAGAAGAGATGAGAACCATGGGAATGCACAGCAGGGTGCTTCTACCCCAAAGGGGCATTCTTAGCAGCATAGGGCAGAGTATCCCAAGGCCACCATGTACAGCTTCAGACACAAGCACAGCCTTCACAACACCACGGTCATCCCCACATGGGCAGCTGTGCCAGCCACATCTCCCCACTGACGGTGGGGACCCATGAAGAGTAGTGGGCTGCCAAAATCATAGAATATCCCAAGTTGAAAGGGACTCATAAGAATCACTGAGGCACAGGTTACTGGGCACAGACAAAGTCTTTGTCTCAAAGACAGGAGGTTTTTAGCTTCCAGATTGTCTTGAGCAATTGGACACTCAAAAGCCGGAAGGGGGAAAGTGCAGCACACCTGGCTGCCCGTGGGCTGCCCTGCCCTGCTCGCATCGCCCTCTCCATGCCCTTGTGCCATGACTGCCTGCAATGCCCTCCTACAAAAATGAGCAGCAGCCTTGAAATAAAACTTCTGCTTTAAAATTCCCAGTTGGAAAGGGCAGGCAGCCTCCCCCCATGCAGGACAGCCACTGCCAAACCATCCTGCACACAAGTGGAGGTCACGATGTGTGCTACCTGCGGCTACAGCCTCAGGACTCAGCCACAGTCCCCTGTGTCCCTGGGCATTCTTCAGGTCCATGTGGCACAACTGAGTCGGCGGCTGCAGGAGGATCCACAAAGAGCAAAGAAGGACATGGGGGCTCTGCCATAACTGTGGATGGCTCCATACAACAATCCCAGCTCACGCCCAGCTAGGGAGGCAAATCACCTCGGCAGCTGCAGCCTGGATCCAGGGCTCAGCGGAGCCAAGCGTTACCTCAGCTCAGTGAGGCAGAAGCTCTGTGTTAATGCCTTTAGAGCAGCTCCCACCATTCCCATCGTGAGCCACTGCGGCTCCCAGTGCCATACCACATCCCCTGGCACCCCAAGCCAAGCCAGGCTCATGGCTTACCGAAGGTGGTGAGGCAGAAGGAAGCTCCCAGGGGCTCAGCCCGGCGGGTGCAGAGTGAGACTCTGTGCACATTGCCAGGCTCCATGGCAGGACAGCTCTAATTAGCAGTAATTGCAGACCTCCCTGTCAGGTCTGGGAAAGCTGAGCCAGTTGCAGCCAGGAAGGACAGACTGGCCAGCAGTGGCGTTTCCAAGGGACGCGCTCCAACCGCCGCGTTTGAACAGCGCAGCTCCCATTGGCCCCTCGGATTTGAATGGAGGCCGCACCTGTCTGTGCAAACAGGCCCAAGCCGCTGAGCCCAGCAGCGCCCTGCCCGCTCGGCGGCTCCACAGCCGTATTGTCTCTTCCTCTCCGCTGTACGGCCAGGGTTGTTAGCATGCACTCAGCTGCTGGAGCACCAGAGCAAGAGAAACATTCACAGCGATTTGGACAAATAACACAGGAGGGGAAGGGCTGCAGGAGAGTTCATTTCTGGGGATTACAGAGGGAAGGGGCAGCAGGACAGGGTTATGTGTTTGTGACAGTGAATGGAACCCTGGGAGCCAGCAGTGCATCCAGCAGTTCCGAGTCATAGAAAGTGAGAAAAAATACAAAGCAACTGAAAGAATCATCTCTCTTTCAACACACACAGACTGCAAAGTGCCCCAGAGACCATTTCCAGCACCAGGGCAAAACAGCACATACTCCTCCCCCCTTGCCCTCTTGTGTTCCCTTTCAATGTTTGTTTATCAGCTCAGAAGAGACAAAAAAAAAAAAAAGCAGAGACACCTGGAGGTGAGCACAGCCCATGGAGCTACGCAGCCCTGCTCCAAGCCCTGCAAGACGCCTTGGGGACTGATGTTTCAGGGTGGCAGAGGCCAGCCCACAGCCACCCTGAGCCCAGGCTGAGGTGAGCAATGGGAAATGAGGTTGCAGCCAGCTCTGCCCACTACAGCTGACATCAGAATCCTGCAGAGTTCAGGATGCTGACACCTCAGCCCCCTCCCCACTTTCCTGGTCAGGGCCAAACCCACCTGCTGTCCCGCTCAGCCCCATCCCTTACCTTTCCCCTTCACCCATGCAGGACTGATCTTCCTTCTTCTGCCCAACACAGCTCCCTGGCTCTGCCAGCAGGCTCTCACTGCCCTGTATTGTACCTCTGGCAGCCCCCACGTCCCAGGGCTGTGCCTTGTGCCTGCCAGAGAGAAAAGAAACAGGCAGGTCAGGGCACACAGCTGGAACGCAGAGGACATCAGTCTGTGGTATCCTGCGAACCCTGCTTTGTCCCCCAGACACCATGCTGCCTTGTCTCCTGCATCCCAGCATTTAGAAACACGTCCCCATGGCATGCTCTGTGCCTTGTAGACATCAGATAAACCGGTCTGCCTTTCCTACAGCTTCAGCAGAGATTGCCAACACCAGAGCTCATCCAGGCTGGAAACTGGAGGTGTCCTGTTCACCACCAGCCATGCTTGCTCATGTGCCAAAGAGTCCTGGATGCAGTGAGTCCTGCCCACAGAACTGGGGAGGGGATGAACCCTTTCAGCCCTCACAAGTAGCACTGAAGAAGGACCTGGGAGAGGAACTGAGTCAGGTGTACTGATAATATGGAGCACTGCAACAGGAGGTACTTATCATCCCAGCCCTGGGGGATGCAAGACAAGCCTCCTGAAGGCTCAAACCCCATCTTACAGCTGTGTCTAGCAGCAAGATCACAGGCTGAGGTCCCAGAAAACAAGCTGCTGTCAGCCCCTGGACAGGAGGGCTGGAGGAGTGCCACCATCCCCAGCGCCCATCACACGCTGCATGCCTCTGAAGCCTGGGACACCACACATCAGATCACAAGGAAATGGTGTCAAAGCACTGTGCTGGGCGATCAGGAACCAGCAAGCAGGTGAAACAGGCACTGCTTAGGGGTACAGAACAATTTCTAGGCGAAGCAGACACCACAAAATATTCTTCCCTCCTGGCTTATCAAAAACCCTCATTTTGCTCATCTGAACCCATTTGCTGCATTCCCAGTGATCTCTGTCTGCCACTCAACAAAATCAAGGGTTTATCCCAACAAACTAACCAACAACTAGCCCCTGGGGAAAAACATGATAACATAATAAGAGGCGAAAGAAAAGACAAACAGGACAATAAAAGAACAGCACAATTCCTCTAAAGTAGCCATTCTCACAGAATATGCTATTAGACATAGTTTTTCCCACCCCTATTCAGGAGGACCAGGACCATGGGAGTCCCACATACCCACAGGACTGAAGTTCATTGGCTGCAAAAATCAGTCCTCACTCTCAAATCCTGCAGACTCATGCCCACTCCATCCTGCAGCACAAGGTGCAAACAGAGAGCCCATGATCTGCCATCCCACAAATGCAATCCCACAAGAAGCCAAGCATCTCTGGTACTCTGCAAAGCATGTGTGGGAGATATGGTCCCCTGTCCTCCAAGCATCAAGTTCTGGAACTTGCATGGTCATGATTCATGTTTCACCCAGCAGACAGCAGCACTACTAACTCAGTAAGGAATCATCCAAGTACTCACATGCCAGCCCTGACTCTCCCCGCTGCTCCATGGCTTTGGCACAGGACTGTCCCTTGCTCCAGTAGAGTCCAAGCACCCACGTCTTGCGCACACACTGTGATTCAGCTGCCACGAGCTTGATACCACTGTAAAAAAATGGGGGGGAAAAAGCATGGAATTGTCCAAAGAGAGCGGGGCTTCAGCACTTGGAAGTCAAGAACGTGCACGGGGAAAAGGTGGTAGCTGTGATGAATGCTGTGGCTCCACTCCCTATAGTCTCCCAACAGCACGTTAGCAACTCCTTCCAACTTCCCTCCTAACATTCAAACCCCTGGAGACTGACCTTCACCTGATTTTCTATCAGAGTTTCCAGCAAACTGCACACTCAGCTGCTTGGCTTGGGAGTTAATGACTTTCTTTTAAAATTTAACACAGTTCTCCGTCACAAATTTCAGTTTGCCAGCACTGGGATCTGCCTTTGGCTGGATATTCAAATCCAAACACATGCTTAGATAGCTGTGTCAGGTTAAAGGGTACCACAGGCACACATAAATCCTCCAAGGTTAGAGCTGGCTTTGAAACTCAAGGAGCTAAATCACATTGGAAAAAATTACCTGCCTCCCCAGGCAATTGATTTTTAGGAACAGAAAGGTTATTTCTGGGATTAGCAAAGTCTGCCAGTAAGGGCAGACACAAAACCTCAGCACTTCCCAGCAGTGGGATTGTTTAGGGTCTATGGCAAACACAGAGCAGAGGGGCATCATTATTATGCCCATTCCTGCAGCAGGAGCAGCAGTTTCCCTGGAAAATACCAGTGAGGAGCCACAGACTGGTTGACCACTGATCGCTTTTCCAATCTGAAACCTGCAACAGGTTTCCCCTGCTGCAAGGGCATCACATGGAGTAAAGCATTAAGTTGAACAAGCTTTAAAACTTATTGCATGTTTCCTCAGCTGAGCTGCGTGCAGTCTGAAGCCTTGCTTACACCAAATGGCTGAATTGACCCCAAGCACCCAGGCACCACCTTCTGCTGCCACACCAGGGCTGGCACAGCCCAGCAGGTCAGTTGAGCTCACTAATCCAGCAGAAACTGAACTATTTATGGCACACTAAACTGGATTGGCCAAGGTTTGCAGAAGCAGTAGAGATCAAAAACCAGAAATGACACAGTGGGGAAGGGTGAATTCCCTTTTGTTGGCAGAGATGTGCTTCAACACCTGGTGAAACCCAACTTCCACTTCACACAAGCACAAAGTAAGATGTACTGAGGTACATAAACAAATCTTCCTACCCTTTCATTTTCAGATTAAACTAATTTAATTGTAGACTGCTACTGAAAGGCCATCTGCCTTTTTCTTCCCCCATTGTGACTCCCAACTTCCGTCCAACCATGGGAACAGGTACAAAAAAAAAAAAAATTAAGAATTTAAAAGCAGAACAGTGGGTCATACAAAGGTCTGCGTGGCTTAGCATTGTGTTTCTGATGGGCACAGTACATATGGGCACACTGATCCACTTGAAAACTTCTGAATTTTCAGAAGCCTGAACTTAGCTGCATCAGCCCACCTTAACCACCTTCTCCAGAGCTGATTTAAGCAAACAGCAGAAGCACCCTGCCAGGAATGCTCTTTCAGAGAAGTGAAGATTAAGATCTGCTTAAACTGGCCTGAAAACCAAGCCCTAGGGATGAAGGTGCATGTCAGAGCCAAGCAGGTCCAACAGCTCACTGGTCCTGTTTGGGTGGTGGCATGCCATTAGTTCAGCCCCAACGTGGCCACCTTAAGACACTTCCATAGTGTAATGTGCATTCTAAATCAATTAGCAGAGCATAGCCTGATTATTACATACTTGGTTTCATGACAGTTCCATTCTCTGTAGTCAGCAAGCTGTTCTCCCTCCCCAAGCTGAAAACATTCACCTTTCCAATGCTGTTAAAGATCATTCAGTTCATCTGTCCAGGTGAGATAATGTCCAACCCTGCTGCAGAGTTCAGCCCTGGAAAAATAGGTCTTTCTGAGCTGCAACACAAACAGAAGCAAGATTCGTAGAGAAACAAATGCAGGCAAACAGTATGAAAGGCAAATCAGAGGTTACCCTACAGGTTTCGTTTTCAAAAGCAAAGTGAATTAACTTTCCAAAGTGAATTAACAAAGTTAGCATTAACGTAATAATTGGTACACACAGCTGAAAATAGCTCCTTAACCTGTACACATAATTTGTCCAAGTGTCTTTCTTTGGGCAGACAGGAACATGTACTCAATCAGTAGAATTATTGGATGGCAATTTTTTTGTAGTCAAACCCACTGAATTAGTTTATGATGAAAGAGGATCCCAGAGAGACATCTTAAAGATGAAACAACTGAATTTGAAGACCTTCATCAAAGATAATTTAACCTCACCAGACCCGAGGTCAGGAGATAATTGGGCAAGAGACATCTGCATGCCAGTGTGCTGAGCTGGGAACCGGACTCCTTGCAGTGGCTATCTGTTCTCTAGGAGATGGAAAAAAAGGAACAATTCCAGACATTAGAGTTAAGTTTCAGGATAAAAACTTAACAATACTTAACAATTTAGAAGATACAATTTGGGGGGGAAAAAAAAGAAAAAAAAAAACAACGCTATGTCATTTTCTTTCAAAAATACAAAATAAATAAATAAAGCACACAAAGCAGCCAGGAACAGTCTCTTAAAACAAACTTAAACTAGTGAAAACAGGCGCCTGTAACAACATCCCGTATCACTGAAGTGACTCTGATTTGAGCTGTGTCCTGCTTTCAGCTCTGTGAACATTTGCTCTCTTCCTGTTTTTTAACCAGCACTAATAAAGCCAACAGGATGTGCCCTCAATTCTGGCACTGAGCACCTTGCAGCCCTCCTCCTGACTTGTGCTCACTCATAACTTACTTTGAAAAGCAGCTCAGGGTGGACCCTGGTAATACTGATATGGAGGAAGAGGTGTGAATTGGCTCAAAAGCCTGCAGGGAATACAGGTAACTATTTGCAGGCTCAGGGACTAACAAAGTCCATTTAATCTTGCAACCCCAGAGAGAACCAATAGGGTTGTTCTCCACGCACAGTGAAGGTTTTGCAGACCAGAACCTCAGTGTATATGTGAACCACTTTCTGGCACGTTTCCCCTCAATTTTGAGGGGAAGAAGAAGTTAAATTATTAAGCTAACAATCTCATTACTGTAGGACCTGCATTTCCTCCCAACTTGTATCCCATTCATCATAACAGAGCTTCAGGAACGACAGAAACAACATAGATATTCCACAGCGATGGCTCTACCCAAAAATAATTTGAACTTTTATCACCTATTTTGTCATTAAGATATTGAAGTATCATTTTCTGAATGTTAAAGTTCTGAATGTTAAATGTTCTGAAGTTAAGCAAGATTCAACACCAATGATGCTAACAGTGTCTTCTGCTCAATACAGAAAGCACTTGGCAAGCTTTGTGCCCACTGCAGCAGGACCATAAGGGAAGTATTTCCATGAAGTTCTGGGAAAAATGAGCCCACATGCCTAGCCTTACCACAAGCTTACAACTTATAGGTAGGTGTTCAGAGTAATTCACCTGACAACAGTATTTTCTTCCAGGCTTTCTTTTTAGAAGGGAGGGTGCAGCAGAAACAGGTAGGGGCCTTTTGGAACATCTGGTCTATTTCCTCAACCACTGGCTGGGGGAGGTGCTCACAGTTTTCAGTGCTGGAAGTTAATCTAAGATGAAAGCAAATATAAGTATATAATTAGCAAATATAACACTGAGGACCTGGTAATTAAAAACTATGGAGTGTGCTGACACAGCAACTCCATGGGTGCACTAAATCTATTTTCTAGCTAAGCAAACAAGAATTTACTGATCATAACTTTTTTTTTTTTTAATACGCAGATCACATTCCAGGTACTGATATACAAACTCCATCTACAAAGAGATAACTAAAGCCAGCTGAGGTCCTCAGGTGGAAGGAAGTTATCAATGAGAAAGGTTTTATGCGTATAAGTGAGAGAAAAAAAATCACATTGGAATCTGAGCACTTACATCACAGTGGCTCACATCTGCAGACACCATTCTGGGAAGCACTGCAGCAGGGAGATCAGGAAGAGACAGAAGAAAGCGTTTGTGCAAATTGATTTAGGGGGAAAAATAAAGAAGCTGTAGGAAACATACAGTGTAAAATAGACAATACAAAATTGTACATGAATCAGATCATAGATTGTACTTGGGTATACCCATCCTAGGCCACGACAGGCTGACAGTCTGGCATTACTCCCTGGCCTTTATCTGGGAGCAGAGGAGCTTTGTCTGACCATGGCTCTGGGCCAGCATCATCTCTGCTTCTACTCCAGCCTACTCGCACCATTGCACAATAACACAACTCTGCCTTGCTTTGTTCTTAAGTTAGGCATATAGGAAACAAACTCGCCTTCTGGCAAAACAGAAATCAACTTCTGATGGCTTTGTTAGCAACAGCAAGCCGACAGCTGGTCCAGAAGCAGGCATCAGCACTGTGTATTACAGTTACAAATGTACCAGTTACAATTGGTCATTATTTCATTAAAAAGTAATGCAACACCTGCTACAGCACTTCACCCCCGAGAGCCACTGAATGACCCTGCAAAAGAATTGTTAACAAAAGAATACATTGAAGTGAGCTAGAAACAAGACTTGAGAGACGTGTGGTTTGTACGAACAGTGATAGGCTTTTATTAATACAATTACTGTAAGTGGAAAAGTAATCAGCGCTGTCACGCACACAAGCCTTCCTCCAGGTCTGACCTTTGCGTATCCAAAATGCTGTGCACACATTATTATGTTCAATATGAGCTATACCTTTACCTATAAACATGTCTCACAACTGCCCATACTCCATCCCCAGTGCTGCTCCTGCTGCTGCTGGGAAACACATGCTGCATGAAAACCTGCACTGTCAGTTACTGCTCCCAACTTCAGGTATCATCCCAGCACAGATTAACCTTCTACCTTCCTGCACTCTGAGTTTACTTCGTTACCTCATCGGGTCTAGGCATGATAGCTGTGGGGCTGGGGTCTGTAGGGCAGCGTGGCCTCACTATGCATTGCCCAACACCTGCACCGTGGGCAGGCTCAGGCAACAGCACAGCAGTTTCTCCTTCTCCATGCTCCCTGCTACTCCTGGCACAGCAAAACCCACAGGATGAAGCAGTGGGTGCCTCCGTGCACACACCAACACCCACACAGCACTGCAAGGAGAGGCAAGAACCCAAGAATAGGGACAACACAGCCACCTTCCCCACAGACCCCTCTGCCTCAGGGCTCCTCCAACCTGCCCCAGCTGCTCCCTGTCCCTCACACCCCCTGCCCATCTCCTCAGCCTCCCACCACCCCACTGAGGCTCCTCTTCACTGCCAGCCCCCACAGGTCCCTTCCAACTGCCACAGCTCAGCTCCATCCCACAGCCCCCATCCCCTCCATAGGGCTGCCAGCTTACAGGCCTCCCAGCAGCCTCCCCCCATACACAGGACCCTCCCCGTAGCTCTTCTCTCCCCACAGCCCTCTCTTCACAGGTGATATAGGTCACTTTCTTTAGTAATAGGGATTAGTAACCAATATATTAGTTTAGCAAAAGGAGCCCATAAGCTGTAGTCTTAAAACTTTCAGCCTCAGTGAGTGAACAGCCCTGTTTTCCTCAATAATTTTGCACTGGGAACATAATAGAATACTTTTATCTTTAGCCTCAAAACGTGTAAGGATATTTTCTTCAGGTTCCACATACGCTGTTATTAAAAGGTGGCTCACTATGGCCTCACAAGCAGTGGGAATCTCCCAAACTGGGGAGCAGGGAATGGCAGTAGGTCAAAAGCCTCAGTGATGAAGCTGGTGGTGAAAAATGGGGAAGAAGCAGGCGGGCACTCGACCACCCCTGATTCCCCTGAGCATCCAAAGGGACACTGGCGCGTGTTTGTGAGGGAAGAACGAATGTATATGTGTGCCTTGCTTGAGTTGCCTGGTACATATGGTGAGGAATAAAGGAATGCTGCTCTCTAACACCACACTGGAGTTAGCCTTCTTTCCAGATGTCAGATGACACAGACTCACCCACCACCACCACCACCACCACCACCACCCCCCTCACAGCCCCTCTGCCCAGACTTCTCCCCCCCCTTACCCCCCACAACCATAGCTCCCCCCTCCCGTTTCCCGCCCACCGCCTCCCCGTCTCCAGGCAACGGCGGCCGCGGAGCAGGGCGGGAAAGCGCGGCGCGGTGCATTGTGGGGCGGGGCCGCGCGGCGCGGTTGTTTCCCGTGGCACCGGCTGTGCTGTGCGGGAACTCAGAATGGCGGAGAGACCGGAGGATCTCAACCTGCCCAACGCCGTCATCACCCGCATCATCAAAGAGGCGGTGGGTGCCGGGCCGCGGGGCTGGGCGCGCGGGCAGAGGCCTCGCTTTCCATCAGAGATCCTCAGCGCGGGGTTCTGCTGCCCGAAACGCCGCACCTGAGAGCTGTGCTGAGCTCTGTGAACGCCACACAAGTGACAGGGCACGAGGCAGCTCCCGCCCTCTCAGAGCAGCAGCTAACGTTCTCTCTAACTTGCTTTTTAGCTGCCTGATGGGGTGAACATATCCAAAGAAGCTCGGAGCGCGATATCTCGAGCAGCAAGTGTGTTTGTGCTCTATGCAACGTCATGGTAAGGATTTGTTGTGTCAGATAAACTGCTAACTGATGTTTGTAATGCACCTCCCTGCTGGCCGGCCTGGAAATTCCTTCCTGAGTACATGCAACAATTGGACAGGTCAGTACAGTGGGAAAGGTGTTACAACAAAGACAAAATGGACTAGCACGATAGTCCCTATATCGATATAAAGGAAGGGAAGAAGGTTGCTCACTTATATCAGAAGATTCCAGGATTGCAGGTGAAGCTTCATCAAGGAAGAGATGCTTCCCCAGTGGCAGTCAGCCCTTAAATGGGGTCTAAGAGAAGTACGGCCAGGCTCCACCCCTTCCTGTCTCACAGCTGCATTGCCTTCATCTGTTCTCCCAGGGCTGACTGGGACCTTTCCCCAGGTGCTCAGTCAGTGGTTCAGGCCGTGACTCAACAGTTACCATACAGTACATTTTGGTATTGTCTGTTTGATTAAACAAAACAATCACATTGTACCCCAGTCCAGCAGACTGCAGTGGTTGGGTTTGGATTGCCTTTTACAGGTTTGCAAAGGCAAGAACCCTTTGGGAGCAAACTCAGAGGAACAAAATAAGAGCCGAGCTGGCTTTGAAGGCTCACCATGCAGCCCTGGAGCTGGTCACACAGTAATGCCTTTGGGATGGCTGGGAACATGGGATCACCCAAAATATGCTTTGCAGAAGTCGCTTCTTTGGTATTGGCTTTGTGGAATTACTGCCTTGTAGCCCGCATTCAGGCCTTCTCCTTCCTGGTGGTTATTTGTAGGAAAGACCCAGGCACTCGGACAACTAACAATGTGCAAAAGCAATGCAACTAGGTGAAAACACAAACAGCCAGTGAGGACAAGAGAGTATCTTAAAATATTATAGCAAATGATTAACAAACACTGAATATTTAGGATGTTATTCTTTTTTTAATTTGTCACAGAATCATTTGAGTGGGAAGGGACATTTAAAGGTCATGGAGTCCAACTGCAATGCACAGGGACACCCACAGCTCCAGCAGTGCTCAGAGCTCCATCCCCTGACATTGTCTGTCTGCAGGGATGGGGCACCACCACCTCTCTGTGCAATCTGTGCAGTGCCTCACTGCCCTTATTGCAAAAAACATCTTCCTTATATCCAGTCCAAATCTCTCCTCTTTTAGCTGGAAACCATTTCCCCTTGTGTTATCATAGCAGACAAAGCTAGGGAGTCTGTCCCCTCCCTTCTCACAGCCCTGTAGATACTGACAGGCCGCTCTCAGCTCTCCCATGGCCTTCTCTTCTCCAGGCTGCACAGCTTCAGCTCACAGCTTGTCCTCGCAGGGAGGTGTTCCACCCCTTGGTGCATTGTTGTGGCCCTCCTCTGGACATGTTTAGAACTGTAATAAATGAGTAAATTGATGGCAGTTATCAATTACCTCTCTTCTCCTTGTTTTTGACTAGTGCAAATAACTTTGCCATGAAGGGGAAGAGGAAAACGCTGAATGCTGGTGATGTTCTCTCTGCCATGGAGGAAATGGAGTTTCAGCGATTTATAGCCCCTTTGAAAGAGTCCCTGGAAGGTATTGTCCTCAGATCCTATTGAGGAACTTCAATAGCACCAAGTTCTATTTTCTTTGAACATCAAACAAGCAACACTTACTTGCCCGTCTTGTTTCTTGTTTTCTTTGCCCAGCATCTTACATTGCAGTTTGTGTGAAGATTAATAATGTGCATCTTAACAGGGCTGGGATTAACATTTCACAACTGACGAGAACTGAGAAAGTCTTAATTGATATCAATCCTCTGTTATGTTTATCTAAGGAAAGTTATAGGTGTTGCCTGCAAATATGAAATCCTGCGTCCTTTCCAACATTTTTCTGCTGAAACTTAACCTGATTTCTCATGGATGGGGCTGGTTAGCACAGCTCTCATAATAGGGAGAGTTGCTGCTATGAGTTCAGCAGGTGGACATTGGGCCACAGCTGCTGTACTGTTCACGTGGTGGAAACACTGGCTTGCAGTTTTTCACTGTTCTTTTCTTTTTAGTTTACAGACGTGAACAGAAGGGAAAGAAAGAAGCGAGGAAAGATAAAGACAAAAAGGCAGACTCAGAGGAACAAGATAAGAGCCGAGAAGATGATAATGATGATGATGATGAAAGGATGGAGGACGAAGAGCAAAATGATGAGGAAGAGGTGGACAACTGAGCTTGCCAATGGGACATACGGGGTTGGGTTTTTGTTACTAGGATATAAATGTTGTGAAGAAATCTTGCTGTGTTCCCTCTGGTTTCCAGTAGAGCTCTTTACTGTTCTTCTGGAATCTCTCTTTGGCTTTAGCATGTACACAAAGGACTTGGCTAAAGCGTTTCTTATGGGTGCCTCACCTCCTCCCTGCACGCAGGGGACTTGGCAGCTTCCCCAGGTGCTGAACAGACAGTAATGGGTCTGGTATTTTTATGCTGGATTGACTCTGAAACAAAGGGAAAGAAGAGAAATGTCAGATGGCTCAGTACAGTAATGACCTGGAGAACTGAAAAAACTTTTGAATAAGCTCATTAAACCAAGCGAAGATCCGAATCCTGGTTCATTAACCCTTTGGGGTTTAGAGTCTACATGATGATGTTAAAAGCCTTAGAAGCTGACAGTTTAAGCTTTTTATCCAAGTGATGTTTTTTCCTTCATTTTCTTGCATTCTGGCTGTGCCTTCTCTTTCCTGCTCTTTCACAGTGATACTGCCAGTTTCACCAGCTGTATGCAGCACACCTGTACAAGGGCCAGTGGTCCTCTGAACTGAATTCTTCCCCTAAATGAACCAGAATTAAAAAAAAAAAAAAAAAGGCTTCATAGCACTTAGAAAGTAAACTAATTACCAGAAGTGCTTGTTTTGTGTCTTTAAAGCCCTCAGAGACAAAGAGGGATTTTTATGAAAAATCTGAAGAAAGGCTAACTGAAAAAATTGTGTCTGAGGAACAAGAAGAAGCTGTGTCAAGTGGAACGTGTGCTGCAGCTCAGCAGTGGGCAGCAGTGGCTCTGATGGTCTCAGCTCCTTTCCCTCCTCTGCGGAGCTGCAGTTCCTGCAGACAGGTTGGTGATTGCTGCAAGTGTTAGAATAGTGGTGGCTTTGGGGTTGGGTGGTTTTCTGAATTACTTTTTAAGTCACTCAAGGTGTGTGTCCTTGTGGTGCTGTGGGCTCCAGGGAGGCAGGGAGGGCAGCACAGTCCTGTGTGGGAAGGCCAGCTTCAAACCTGTGCTGTTAAAATGGCCTCTGTGAGAAAGATGGGGTGAAACCAGCTGAAAAACTACCTGTTAGAATAAGCTTATTTTTTGGACACAGTGCTTTATTATGTGACTGACCTTTTTCGAGACTAATAAACCTAACATTTAGACTTAACTGGGGTCTGGTAAAGGAAACATGAGGAAAAGGTTAGAAACCTTATAAACAAATCCATCAGTTTGGCTGATGTGCAGTATAAACAAACACGAGCACTTGGGAGGAGCAGCGCGTCCCTTCGTGTTCTGGAAAGGCGCTGCAGGGCCGCCCTGCCTTTGCCATTTCTGTGGCACAGTGACTCCACAGGCCCTCAGCGCCCAAAAAGAGCTGAACCAACGAGGTGCTGCTGGCTGCCTTCTGCTGGAGGCAGTGGCAGATGAAAGGACTGCTTTTTTTGGTGATGTCTTCCCAAGATCTCAAGAACAAAAACAGCTGTCCTTCTAGGTTTGGGGGTTTTATTACGTTTGGTTTTGTGGTTTGTTTTTTTTTTTTAAGTTTTCTAGTATGTATTTGGGACGTGTATTCCGCCAGGGACCAGTATTTAAATAAAAGCTAAATTCTTTACACAACTTGAATCTTTGATTGCTGTTTCCAGTGGCTGAAGTGCACGTCTGAGCACGCAGCAGCAGCAGCCACGGCCCTGCGTGCGGTGCGGGCGCGGGGCTCCGATCTGCCCGCATTCCACCCCTGTGCGGGGGGTTGGGGGGGGTTGAGAAGGGGGTCGGGGGGGGGGGGGGGGGGGGGGGGGGGGGGGGGGGGGGGGCCGTCCCGCCACTGGGAGCGCGCCAAAACAAGCGCGCGCCAGCCCGTTCCCGCGCTCCGCCCCGCGAGACTTCACGCCTCCCCTGCGAGGAGCCGAGGGGTGTCGCTATGCAAATCAGAGGGCGGGGCTATGCAAATTTAGCTGTGCTCTCGCGGCGGGAAGCGGCGGCAGGTGAGCGTGGGGTCGAGGGGGGTTTGAGCGCGGTTCGCTCGGCGCTGCGGGGCGCTGCTGTGAGCTCGGGCGGTGCTGCACGCAGGGAGCGGCGACCCGCAGTGCCCGGGGCCGGCACGCAGCGCTCCGGGGCCGGGAGGCCCCCGCACGGCCCGGCCCGTTGCGACGGAGGGTAGCGGCCGCAGGGGCTCGGTCACCCACGGGCTCGGCGCTCCCGCCGCCTCCCGCAAGCGCCGCCGGGCGGGGAAGGAGCTCGGACGGGTATCGGGGCGTGCGGGGCCCCGGGATTCCTTAAGGACAGGGAGGCCTTGGGGAGAGATCGTGACAAATGGAGGCGGGCATGGACTGCAGGGAGTGTAACAGTAGCGGGTTGTGCCCTTGGGACGGGACTGTGCACAGAGTGGGGACAGGCAGCTCCAGGAAGAGCCCTGGGGGTTCTGTAGCAGCGCGGAGCTGTCGGGGTGGGAAAGGCTGGGGCTGAGGAAAGGTGCGCACAGCCCCGGGCTGCCGGAGCTCAGGGTGTGCTGGGACACTGCTCTCAGCCGTGGCCTTGGGGTTTGGATGGTGCTGTGTGCAGCCGGGGTTGGATTCAGTGATCCCTATGGGTCCCTGCCAGCTGCTGTGCTCTTCATCCATTGGCCGTCGTGGCAAAGCCAGCCACAGACACCAACCACATGGTGGCAGAACCCGGTGCTGAGGCACAGAGCTCTGCCTGGCTCTGCACCCAAGGACTCCAGCAGTGCCAGGGCTTAGGGCCAAAGGGAAGAAAACACGGGGAAGTCACAGAGCAGTGAGTGCTGCAAACTGTGCTGTCACTCCCGTGCTGTCAGTGCGTGTGCTCCCATGGCATCTCTGAGCACACCGTTTCCAGATCCTATCTGAAAGATAAAATCCTTCTGAACACGTTGTCCTTTGTTACTGACTGCTAATTAACCTGCCCTCATTAGCGTAGCTCCACTGTGTCTCCTAGGAGCTCAGCTTTCCGCTCCAGCTGTTGGCAGTGCTCCCCAGCCCCTTCTTGCTGCCCTTTGAGCAGTGTCAGCACTCAGCTCAGCTGATGGCAGCTTCCCCTGTGGGGGGCCAGGGGCGGGGGTCCCCCTGCATTGCTGTTATCTCCTCTGCACAAGCCCTCCCCACTTCTCCAGTGTGGGCTGTGGCTGATATCTGTCCGTGACAACACAGAGGGAGCTGCTGCCTCTGTTCCCACCCGTCCCCCTCCATGGGATCAGCACTCAGAGCATTTTCTGGATTCTCGAGGTGTGCTGTGCTCACTGAGCCTTTTGTTCTGCTGCCTGGAGCTGTGCCTGAGCAGTGCCAGCCTCCCAGGGGCTCTGCTGTGTGGAGCAGCAGCGACCCTGGGCTGGGCGTTCCTTCCTGCAGTGCCAGGACACTGCCTGCGTGCTGCCAGCTGTTCCATACCATGCATGAGCACCAACATGGTGTCTTTATAGTCCTTTTATGTATGTAATTGTGTAAGTAAGCAAGAGGTCGCTCCATTCCCAAACCAGGAATGCAAACAGCTTGGTTCAGTCTGGTGCAGATGGACAACTTGGCTCCATGTTGGGATATTTGAAGGGTCTTTGAGCTTCTCCCAGTGTAAAACGCAGGAACACCTCCAATTAAAGTTTCCCAGAGGAATGGAGCCATCTCCTGCCCAGCTCTACTGTGGTGTAGGACGCCATTCCTGGGCTGCAGTCCTGGCGAGCAGAGTGAGGTTGGTGTGTCCTCAGCTGAGCGCTGGTGGAGGAGCACTGAGGTTTATTGTTGGGGAGATCAGCCAGGTGCTGACACCCCATGTGTGCTTTGGGAAAGGGAGTGTGGCTTGGGTAAGCCAGGGGTTTGTTGTTGTGAAATGTACATCTAAATTACCCAGTCACAAGATTATCATTGAGGTGTGGAAGAAGAAAATACTGTTACAGACAAGTCCTGTGGCTGGGCAGGGCGGTGCACAGCCCGCAGGCTGATGTTAGCAGAGGAGGAATGGCATTTACTGGGTTATGGGGCGGAAGCTCCTGCTTCATCCCCACAGCCTGGGAAGCAAATGCCCTGGGGAATTCACTGCAGCTCGCAGATGTCCAAGCAGAGGCAGCATGCAGGGCCATCGTGTTCTTTTTTTCCCCATCTCACAGTCACCAGTTGAGCAGCAGCTGTGATTCCCAGTCAGCAGGGCTCATTTCCTGTGTGGAAGCCTGTTAGTCTCAGGCTGGTATCTGCCAGGGCGAGAAGGGTTTGATCTAGACATAAAGCAATAAAAGTGCTTCAGTGGCACCCAGTCCCTGACCTCCTGGTTTTTGTTTTTTTTTTTTTGCTGTTTCAGGGTCTCTTCTCACAACATTCTCGTGCTTTCCCAAGATGCAGGCAGATTCACTCCTTCACAGTGGCTATTTCCACCCTGTGCTGCGCTCGTGGCAGTGCACAGCCACCACCTTCAATGCCTCCAACCTTATCTACCCCATCTTTGTCACGTGAGTCACGTGGTGCTCTGGGCTGGGGGACCAAACTCAGGTTGGCTGGCCATAGCACAACAGGCATTGGTATCCCCTGAGCAGTCAGAGGGGTTGAGACTCCCCAAAAGATTCCCTGTGGACAAGTGTGGGGCGGGGGCTGAGTTCTGTGGGCACAGCCCATCTGCAGTCTTCCTTCTCACTCCCAGTGCTCACATCTCTGTCCCATCTGCCCTTTGCAGTGACAGCCCTGATGCGGTGGAGCCAATTGCCAGCCTCCCAGGACAGGCCAGGTAAGGGCCAGAGCCAGCCAGGAGCTGCCTTGCAGCTAGAGATGAGCACAGGACAGGGCAACACTCCTGTATTGTTGTACATATTCCCTGCCCTGAGGACCCCCCAGCATCAAGTAGGGTGGGAACATCCCTCTGCTCAAAGCAGGGAAGGAGAGCAATATGGGGATGCTGGGTGGTGGCAGGGTTCCTTTGGGTACACAGAGAAGCTGGAAGTGAGGCCAACAGCAGCTGGATGTGGACGCTTGTCCTGCATTCAGCCTTGTAAGATGGGCAGATCCTGCTATGTTTGCAAGGTTTGGACAGAGGCTAGAGTGGGATGTTCCCAGGGGCAGGGTATGTTGGGCAGGTTTTCCACATCAGCTTTTGCTGTTGGACAGTGGAAGGTGGGTCAGCATGGGAGGGGCTCCTGGTAGCTTGGTCAAGTCACACAGGACCTTGTTACTCCGAGCACCCAATCTGCTGGCCCTGGGCACTCAGCCATGGTTGTGCAAGCAGAATGCATACAGGAGAGCCTGCAGTCTGTGCCATGCCAGGCACGATTCCCTGCACCCTGCACACTGTGCTGAGCCCAAGCCTGGCTTGCTCAGGGCTGCAACAGGAAAGCTGAGATAAGGGATCCAAGGGCAGGACACACACATCTTTTCAGAGCAGAGACAGAGCAAGGCTCCCTGCTCTGTCCCTGCCTGGCAGATAACTGTGCTGTAATCCCAGATAAGGACCTGGATTGTTCCTTTCAGCAGCACCTCCCCTATATCTCCCACTGCTGCTTGGTGTGCACCGGCATCCAACTTAATGATTAACTCGGGTCCATTCCTAAGTGGCCCAGCAGGCAGGGCCTGGCCAGCAGCTGGGTGCACTGCTCAGGTCAGAGGGCTGTGTGCTGGCACTGGGTGTACTCACAGTGTATTTGCTGGATCACAAAGATGCTGGTCCCAGGGCAGAATGGGCTGCTGGTACCCAAGTGGTTGCTGTATGCAGCTGAGCATCCCTGCCCCTGTATGTGAGCAGCCCCCTCTGCCTTGTGGCAGTGATGCAGGGTCTCCAGGTTAGCCTTCAGCATGGCTCCCATCCAGTTCACCCTCTAGGGGAGGTTTGGGTGCCTGGCAGCATCACTTCACTTTGGTTTTCTCAGGTATGGAGTCAACAAGCTGGAGGGGATGCTACAGCCCCTTGTTGAGGATGGTCTGAAGTGTGTGCTCATTTTCGGGGTGCCCAGCAAGGTCCCCAAGGTCAGTGTGCATGAGCAGGTGAGGGGGCCACAGAGATGTGGGGGAGCACTGTGGGGGTGGAGGGTCTCCCAGTAAAACACAGGCAGTTTGGGGTTGTGGCAGACCATTCCATAGAGCAGGACAGAGACGGGAAACTGCAGCAATACCCACAACACTCCCAGTAGCTCTGGGTGCCTCTGCTATATTTCTCTGTATGAGTGGTGAGACGAGAGCAGAGAGCTCTGCATTTCAGAGAGCAGCATTGGAGCTTGAGAAGAGCACATCCTGTGCTGCTCCTCCTGATCCAGTCTTGCACTGTGAGCTGTTGCAGAGAGGCCCCAAGATCTGTGCTCATTTTGGTGTCGCTGCTCTGTCACCCTTTTCCACCAATGGTGATCACACCACTCTGCAGTAAGAGGTCTCATAGTTCAAGAACATTCCCTGGATTGACCTGCGGCCATGGAGAGCTGGTGGGAGGCCCTTAGCTCTGTGTGCTCAGGCATTTCTCTTCTTGCAGGACGAGAGAGGCTCTGCTGCAGATGCAGAAGACACACCGGCCATCCAGGCCATCAGGAAGATCTGCTCCACGTTCCCACAGCTGCTCATTGCCTGTGATGTCTGCTTGTGTCCTTACACTTCCCATGGGCACTGCGGTGAGCACACAGCATGGGGAACTGGGGTGCTGTTCAGGCACCTTCCTCTTACCAAGAGTCTCTGGGGGTTTCTGCTTTCTTGTGAGAAATTCTGGGTGCCGGAGGGGCCTGGCCAGCACCTGCCTCAAAACTTCCCAGCACTGTGTTGAGCATGGATGACCTGAATTTTGCAGTCAGGGCAGGAAGTACAGGTGGATCAAGAACCCACTCCCTATCCCTGAGTCTGTCTGAGCACCCATCTAGGTACCCCATTACTGAAATCCTTTTCCTGGAGCACTCACATGTCAAGTCCTGCCTGTGGGCACTGCATTGTTAGTCTCCTGCTCAGCCCCTCTTTATCCAGCTCTAACGCCTTCTCCGCTGTTGTTCTGAGCGTCTCTATAGCTTGTTACAGAACTCCAAGGATCAACACCATCACCTCACTGTCCTGCCCCTTGCCTGACTCATTTTTTCTTCCAGGCATCCTGCGGGAAGATGGCACCATCCAGAATGAGGCCAGTTGCCAGCGGCTAGCAGAAGTGGCACTGGCTTATGCCCAAGCAGGTGAGCAGTACCTAGCAGCAGCAACCACACATGGCTGTTGTCACCTTGCCCCTTCTCACTTATAGTCAGCCCAAAAGCAAACCGTGCCTGGCTCCAGTGGGAGGGCTTCCACCGAGCTGGGGAAACATCCACCTGCCAACCCTAGAGGAGCTGCAGGGACTCCAGACACCTCCTTCAGCCCTATGAGGGAGATGCCTAGGGTCACCCCCTCCTGCAGGCAGATAGAGCCTTGGGCTTGTTATTTCTGGCCTCCCCCTGCAGGCTGCCACATCGTTGCCCCCTCGGATATGATGGATGGGCGCATTGCAGCCATAAAGAAGGCTCTGATTTCCAACGACATGGGCAACAAGGTGAGCATGAAATGTGTGTGCCATTTGAGCAACCCCAACGGGTGGCTGCACCTTGAAGTAGCCTGAACACAGAGTGGAAGAGGCAAACCTCCACATTGTTCAGGACATGCTGCAGGCATTTTCCTGCCCTAGTGCATGGAGGAAGGGAAAGTTCTTGGCAAGACACATGGGGCCAGTGAGGTGCCAGGCCTCTGGCAGGGGATAGAGGAATGGGACAGAATATAAACTGTAGGAGGGAATTCCACCCTCGAGCTGGGATGCAGCAAAGAGCTCCAGCCCTTACAGCCCCACTCTCCTCTGCAGGTCTCAGTGATGAGCTACAGTGCCAAGTTTGCTTCATGCTTCTACGGACCCTTCAGGTGAGGTTCTACAGAGATGGGAACATCCCATATTTGCAGGAGCAGCAAGGAGGGAGGCTGCACTGCACCAGAGAATGTATTTTGGGATGAGCCTTGGCTCACCCAGCAGGTAGAGCTCATCCCAAGAAAGGCCTGGACCCCAATGGAGCTCCTGAGGGACTTAGAAGCAAAAGGAGAATATTTGAATCACCTTCACCCCAACCCTATGGGCATGGAGAAAGCTGTGGGTGTGGAGGCTTGCTGGGGCTACGCCCCATCCTGAGTCAGATGGGAAGGAAGGGGGAGCTGCTCTGGCCGCTGTCCCAGCTTGGCCTCACTGAAGGCACTGATCCCTGTGCCCTACTTGTTCCCAGGGATGCTGCACAATCCAAACCTGCCTTTGGAGATCGGCGCTGCTACCAGCTGCCCCCAGGCGCCCGCGGTCTGGCACTGCGAGCTGTGGTGAGTCCAGCCAGGCCCTGTGGCTTTGTGGGGACTAAAAAACTCATCCATCCAAGATGGCCAAGGGTCCTTGCCCTGCACAAGTCAGAACCTCGATGACCATCAGCTGACCGCAGAGCCTGAAGAATATGTATAAGGAGCTGGGCACTCCATTCCCGACTGTGGTTTGGAGTACGGGGACAAGGGATGAGGTTCTGGGTCCAGCTGTGGGCTCCTGTGGCCGCTGGGGGCCCCTTCTGTGTCCTGGACTCCTGGGAAAGTAATCACTGGGTCAGAAATTCTGAGGATACATCCATCAGTTGTGAGCTGCAGGGACTGTGTGCATTCTCCCTGCAGGACCGGGACGTGCGTGAGGGTGCAGACATGCTGATGGTGAAGCCTGGGATGCCCTACCTGGACCTTGTGCGGGATGTGAAGGAGCGGGTAAGGCCCGGCTGCGGACACCAGGTGTCCCCAGAGGAGAAGTGGGTTGGGGGCAGCCACGGCACCTTTCCAAAACCGGTGGGGAGAGGGGGACACTGCACAGCTGAAGAGCTCCAGTTCTCGGGTTGGACAGACGATGCCCCGCTGTCCCGCTGACCCCTGCCGTTTCCTGCAGCACCCCACGCACCCCCTGGCCGTGTACCACGTCTCGGGAGAGTTCGCCATGCTGTGGCACGGGGCGCAGGCGGGCGCCTTCAGCCTGAGGGCCGCGGTCATGGAGGCCATGTCCGCCTTCCGGCGTGCAGGTGAGAAGCGGGAAGGCACGGGGCCAGGTTGCCTCGATCCCCCGCCCCGGCCCCTGCCTCCCATCCGCTCTCCTCCCCGCAGGGGCCGACGCCATCATCACGTACTTCGCGCCGCAGCTGCTGCGCTGGCTGAGGGAGGAGGCGGCGGCGGGGCGGGCCTGAGCCGGTGGGCGGGGCCGGAAGTGCCGGGGCAGTAACCGGAAGCGCTGGGGCGGAACCGGAAGCGTTAGTGGCTCCTGCGTCTGGCCCCGCAGCCCCGGCCTGGGGCACGGCCTGAGGCAGCGGCGCGGCCGGGGCTGAGCGGGGCCGTTCCGCTCCACCCCTCCAAATCCCCCCGCCTCAGCGGAGGCCCCAGATCGGGGCTGGTCCCCTCCAAGTGCCGGTGGGCCCGAGGCCGATACGGGCCCGCGGTGCGTCATGCTGTCGCCCCCGTGTGCTGTAGGTTCCCTTTAATCCTAACTTTGACCGAAGCGATGCTCAGGCTGCGCCTTTTGACGTGGGACGTGAAGGACACGCTGCTGCGGCTCCGGCAGCCCGTGGGGCTGAGTTATGCGGCCGAAGCTCAGGCCCACGGCGTCCAGGTGCAGCCGGAGGCGCTCGGCCAATCCTTCCGTGCGGCCTACAGGGCCCAGAGCCGCCGCTTCCCCAACTACGGCCGGGCCGAGGGGCTGAGCTCCAGGCAGTGGTGGGTGGATGTCGTCAAGGAAACCTTTCGGCTCGCGGGTGTGCACGAAGACGCGGTGCTCTCACTGATGGCGGAAAACCTTTACCGGGACTACTGCAGTGCACACAACTGGGAGCTGCTGCCAGAAGCTGGGGAGACCCTGAGCTGGTGCCGCCAGCACGGCCTCCACATGGGTGTGGTCTCCAATTTTGATAACCGGCTGGAAAGCATCCTGGTGCAGTGCAACCTGCGGCACCACTTCCACTTTGTGCTCACCTCTGAGGCTGTGGGTGTTGCTAAGCCAGACCCGAAGATCTTCAGGACAGCCCTACGCCTTGGTGGGGTGCTGCCTGAGCAGGCGGCCCACATCGGGGATGACTATAGCAGGGATTACAGGGCAGCACGGGAGGTGGGCATGCACAGCTTCCTGCTCCGCACCCCTGGGCAGAGCACACAGCCAGAGGTGCCACCGGGACACATCCTGCCCACGCTGAGCCACCTCCTGGCTGTCATCGAGAAGGGGTAGCAACAAGAGCTGCCCTTTGGAAGGACCAATGCTGCTGCTGAGCGGTGATCCGCTCCTGGACTGTGACTTCTTGTTGCTGTTTGGGGTAAGGAAAAGAAACAAGCGCTTCTGAGCATGGGGAGAGGCCCTGCCCACATTGCAGGAGCAACATTCAGGCAATAAAGTGTACCTGGCACACAGCATTTGTGCTGTTTTCTTTCCAAGTGCTTCATGTTGGGTGGGGCCTTCTGCTGCTGTAGCTGGGGAGTATATCTGGGTGCAGCACAGAAAGCATTTCACTTACACTCATCCATCTATGCTCCAGCAAATTAATTCCATCAGGAGGGATGGCAGACTGATAGTTACCTCTTAGTCACCGATTCCTGCAGAGCTGTCTGGGGACAGGCTGCCAGCAAAGCAGTCTCTGCACACGTGGAGGTTTGCCACCTCAACAAGCAGCTCCCTCTCCTCTGGAGCTGTAGCTGGAAGCAGTCACAGCCCTCCTGTTGTGGGCAAAGCAGTCTGGAGATGCAGAATTTTACTTAGTGTAATTTACTGCCAGCAAACTTAATTACTGATTTGGATACTGAGAAATAGAATCACAGAATGGCCTGGGTTGGAAGGGACCTCAAGAATCATGACTCTCTTCAACTCCCCTGCCACATGCAGGGCCACCAACCTTCCCATTTAGTACCAGCCCAGGCTGTCCAGGGCCCCATCCAACCTGGCCTTGAACACCTCCAGGGATGGACGGGGCATCCACAGCCTCTCTGGGCAGCTGTTCCAGCACCTCACCACTCTCATAGTAAAGAACTTAAATAAGAAATAAAGATAACAATTTTTAAACACCAAGGAAATGCATTTCTTTCCTTCACCCAAGCTCAGTGTCAGTCCAACACCTTTCTTACTTCAATCAGCTGCCTGTTATCACTGTAGTATGCTCAACCTTGCCAAGCCCTAGGAACAAGCAGTTCCATTCAGGTCAATGCTAACGGCTCCTCTCTTGCTGCTCCTCTGTTCTGGGAGATGCTGATGGTCCATGAGAGTGCCCCTGCCCAGTGTAGGTTCTCACATGGGTGACAACCCCAATTCATGGTGTCCCTTCTGCTGCTAGGGCTTCTCTTTCCAAGTGTCCCCTACAGCTTTCCATGCCTTCTGCCAATTCTCTTTCATTTCTCCAAACAGCTCTTAAAACCTTTAGTCAAGATTGAAATAATTTTCATTCCTGCAGCATGGAGTGTTTTGTTGCCTGCGCTACTCCCCATTGGAGCTGGAAAGAAGCCCTTGTTCTGAAGAGGAATTAAATGATTCACTCGCAGAGGACTGGCAGAGCCAGGTGTTAAACACTGATCCCATGCTCCAGCTTTCACAATTTTGCTCTCCCCACCTTGCACTCCCGACTCTGCTGAGCAAACTGTGGTGTCAGGGCCAAGGTCCTCCCATGCTGAACTGGGCTCAGTGGAAGCTCTGCTTCCTGCTGCAGCACCTCCCAGCCCTGAGGACTCCAACAGCATGGGAGCTGGGGAGAGCTGACAAGAGTCTTCAGAAGGCACTGTGCTCCTGTGGGGTGCTTGGAGAGTGATTTGGCTCTTTCCCAAAGGTCCTGGCTCTGGGTCCTGGAGGGCAAACATCATGTGCTCTGTAGCCTGAAGGAGATGAAAGCCATTGTAAAACAAGAGAACAGATGTACAGGCTGAAAGCAAGTCTTTTCTGATCACTGTACATGCTGAAGGCACTGTGTGGTGTATACAATCACCGTCCATACAGCCGTATGTTTGCAGCCCACCTCTCACTGGCTGAGCGAGATGCTCTGGTGTGCCACCGCAAAGACAGGGTAGAGTGGTGCTGCAAAGGCCTCCCTGTGCGAGAAGAGGATGGTACAGGAATCGGGGTCATAGAAAAGCACCTCCCCTCCCGCAAAGTCAACCAGCACACCGATCTCAGTTGGGGCCCTGAGCAGCTCCACAGGCCGGGGCTGACCGGCGTGCAAGAACCTGAACTCCTTGTCGTAGCGTGAGAAGACCCAGGAGGCAGCATTGAAGCCCAGACGGGCCTCATTGCCAGGCCCCTTCCGTGGCAGCGAGCCGTAGCACACCCCCAGTTTGTAGGCACAGCTCTTCTCCACGCTGACCTTCCATGCGTGGAGCCCCGTGTGAAAAGCCGCAGCAGCCAAAGCGTTGGGCCAGTGGTCAAAGCGCTCAGGGCCATCCAAGTCCAGCTTTGCTTTCTTGGGGCTGAAGGTCAGGGTTTTCTTGTCTTCCGACAGGCTCAGGTGGGGGCTGACGGTTTTCTCGTCTATGCTGATTTCCTGAGAGCCTGGGAGAGATGCACACAGTGAGCACATGGAGGGCCTTCACCACCCCAGGAACCATCCCCACAGCGATGGGCCCAACTGCTCCCCATGGTGATAAGGGCAGCACTTGTGTTGCCACTTCCCAGAGTGGTGTGAGAAGGGATGGAAGGAGACAGCTCAGAGCCACGGGCCAAATCCAGGCAGGAATCTGCACTCACTGCACCAGAACACACCTAAGGCAACGGTCTGGGGTTCCTGTCCCATACAGACAGGCTGCCAAATAGTGTGAAGGAGAGCAGTGATCTGAGCAGGGACTTAGGGTGTAATTCCTATGCATGGCAGGGAGAAACCCAAACCCCAGCCCTGTCCCTGCAGCCTCCCTGTCCCTGCTCCTCCTCCCCAAGGTGAGCCAGGAGCCCGCCAGGATGGCACTTGCTTGGGGAAACCAGCAAAGCTGGTCCTGCAGGGACAAGGAGGGATGGGCAGAGGAAATCCCTTCCCCGCTACAAAGCACACTCAGCCCAAAGTCGTTCATCAGCTCAGAACAGTCCATCAGCCCTGAGTGGTTTGGAACAGCCTCACAAGGTGGCACCAGGAATTGGATGAACCACTGCTCGTCTCTTTTGCTGTGACGCAAGGACAGGTCCTTCATTCACAGCACAGAGGCAGCACCCAGCCCTGCGGGACCTGCACACTTTCCCTGTGCCACCCTTCCTCCACACACACCTCAGCAGCCCACGAGGGGGTGTGAGCGCTGAGTAGCTGCACAAATATTTCCCCTGCCCTATAAATCCCTAAGCAAAGGGGAAAGGCTGCTGCCCGCATGACTCACCTCTGCCCACTCCCGGGAGATGCAGTTTCCCTGTCCAGTGCTTTTCCTTGCCCTGCTTTCCCCACTCTTTCTCATTCATTTTATGCCTTCAGCTGATGAAGAAATGGGGCTGGAGCAGGTGAGCCTTTTGCTGTGCCACCCCACACTGTGGGGCTGGGCTGTAGGAGGAGCTCAGCCATACAAAGCCCATTCCTGCTCCATCAGCCCCTGCCCAGCATTCAGCACCTGGCAGGACGAGGCCCCCAGATAACCAAACCACTGGGCTGCCACTCCAGAGACACAATGGAATGGGCTGAGATAAGGTAATAAATCTGCTCAGTAGGTACGTGTTAATCACAACACATTTTACTGCATGGAAAAAGCCAAGTTCCTATTTCCACACCTGATACTGAAACCCTCGCAGCCCAACGCAGGCACGGTGTGAGTGCAGCCCCTTTGACCAGAGCCCTCCCAGAATGCTGCCAAGGGCTTTATGGGACTTTGTGTCTTAATGCAAGCTGGGGCTACTGCAGTTAATACTAAATTTGTAAAGCTATGTCCTGGGTGGACTATGGATTACTGAGACAGGCAGGCACCCTATGACAGTGGTGTGTTAAATCTAACTACACACACACACAAAAAAAAAAAAGCATCAGAGTGTAATGTGTGCAGCTATAAACCCAGCACTGTGATTTGGTGCCTCAAGGTCCTCACAGCTGGCAAGGATGTGACTGGGAAAGGAATCCATAGGAAAACCACATCACAGCAAAGGCAACTAGAGGCTGACTTGGGAAAAAATCTGAGAACTTGCTCAGCTCTGCCAATAGCAACTGCAGGATTTTGCTGAATTAATCTCAGAGGTGGAGCAGCAGAAGACACAAACGTTGGTACTATCTGCCACACACAGCTGACACACAACAACCTTAGAGTGATACTCAGAAGCACACACACTTGAAAGGGATCTGGGGAGCACTCATCCCCACCAAGAGCAAGGTGAGCAGAAGTCAGGAGTTATCATGTGAGCACTGGGAAGGTAACCCTGGGGAGAGGCGATGGACACCTTTTCAAATTGTGAAGGGTGTCACCTTTGAGGAACAAGAAATACATTTGAACGCTCCAACAACATCCTGGGAAAGCAAACATTTCACAATCAGCCATCCACGCTGATTGTTGCCAGATGAAAACCACTCCTGCTCAGAGCTGCCACACCATCACTGCTGCCCCAGCACACCAGGACATGGCTCCTCAGGCTCACAGCCACCTGCAGCTGCTCACAGCCACTGCCTGCTCTCCCAGTTCTGAAGCTGTTGCTGCCCACTCGGTGAGCCCCAGGGAGCACACGGAGGTGAGGCAGCACAGGGGGACAGGAGGTGCCAAGTCCTCCAGTGCTGGGGCAGGACACAGCCTCAGGGTGGTCACACTGCACCCAGGGTGCAAAATGAGCTTGCAGAAATCCAAATCTGATAGGACACTGACCTGCCATGCAGCAGAGAACCGCAGAGGCCCACAGCCGGTGCAGCAGCGGACTCTGAACACACTGCTGATTAAAGTTTAACTTGGCAGACTCCTGTGGCTCTAAGATTCCCTCTGCCAACTCTGTCCTAGCAAAGAGACACAGCAGTTACTTTGAAATCCGGTGATTAATTGACAGTTGCTAAGAGGTGGTGGCAGAGACCTGGGGGAAGGAGCACTGAAACATGAGCTGGAAGAGTCACAAGAGTGGCACTCACTGCAGGGAAATTGCTCTCCTCCAAAGTGATACTTCTGGTTGGTTTTGATCACAGCCCCTTCTGAAAGGACTTCAGTTTTAAAACACAACCCTGCAGCCTGAGCCAACAGTTTCCTTATGCAGCCCATGCAGGTTCAATGCAGCCGAGACCAGCCATCAAGATACAAGGAGAAAACAATGGGCGGGCTGCAGGGAGAGCATTGGGTTTCCCTGTGAGGTTTTCTGTGGACAAAGCCTGATTGCTAGAGCAGAGGAGTGAGCTGGGACTGCAGATCTCACGTAATGAGGTTAAGGACCTGCTGGGTCCTTGCAGCCTTCGGCACACATCAGCTCATCCAGTGCTGTCAGGCACAATGTGCTGCAGTGGTTTATTGCTCTCTGCAGGAAAGCTGCAGATAGGAACAGCAGGCCAGCTCCTCGGGTGGGCAATGTGACCCTGCCTCCAGGGCAGAGCTGTGCTGCTTTCTGAGGGGCTGGAGGAAGTCTCCTGCCAGCAAGTGCCAGAGCACCTGTAGGTGCCTGCAGAGGGGCACTGCACAGCCCGGCCCCCAGCACTTCTGAAGCAAAGACCAGAGGATACATGAGAATCCCTGTTCTCTGTCCTCGTCCTCAGAACAAGGGAGGGAAGAGCAGAGCTGTGACGTGCTGCCCACTGGGGGAAGGCAGGAGGTGCTGGGCAGGCTCAGAGAAGGGGTGAGGAAATGCAGGAGCAGGCAGGTACTAACCTCTCGAAGATCTCTTGTTCTGCATTCTGGGGACAAGGAGAGAAAGAGTCAACACAGCTGAAATTCCCACAGAGAAAATCCCAAACCCAGGCTGGGGCACAGCAAACCAGGGACCCAGGGAGCACCAGTCTCCTTCCTGACCCACAGAAACCACCCCTGACCACAGCTTTGGCCTCAGCAAGCATCCAACATCCATTTTCTTGTGGCTGTTGTGCTTTTCACTCCTTGCCTCAAAAAATGAATGGGAATGGCTGAGGATGCTGCATGTTTCCTGTACCTACAGCTCAGCTCTGCCAAGCTGGCAGCGGCTCTGGGGCACAGCACAGGGCCTTCCAGACAGCCTGCAAGCTGTGGGGAGCAGGAGACTGCAAACACAGCTGGCTCGCCTGCTGCAAGGGAAACACGAAGGAGACCTACAGGAGGTTGGTGTTGGGAACCACAAAGCAGCAGATTGGACCCCTGCCCTTTGGTACACACCAGGCTGGATGCACCTGGAGTCTCTTACTGCTGCATCCTGCCTTGTCCAGGTGAGAAAACCCCTGCCCTGTCTGTCTGTCAGGCTCTGTCCCGTGTCCCTCCCTCCTCCCCACCTCTGGAGCACTGCAGAAGCACCCTGTGCTAGCAGCCAACAACCCTGAAAGCCTTCAGTAAGGGGTAAAGGTGCTGCAAGGGTTACAGACCCTAAGGCAAAAGATGGACAATGCTGTGAGCAATTCCACTCCTCCCTACAGCTGCTGACATTGGGCCCTTCTCTGGCAACATCAGTTAGCAAAGCAGTAGCAGAAATTCAGAGCCCAGCTCAGAGCTGCAGGGTTCACTATGTGCTTCTCAGTTTGCCATGAGATGACACGTATCAGTTTGTAACAAATACCGACACCAAGCACCCAGGGTGGAGAATTTATGAATGCTATTCCTCCTCCTTTACTTGGCAAAAGAAGAAATAAAAGGGTCTTATGGCCCTCTCCATCAGGTTAGATATGATGAGCAGCAGCTAAGAGCAAGAAGGAGGTGCAGTGCCTTCCTGCCTGCATCTAAAGCAAGAGGAGCCAATTAGTAAAATGCAGTTTAGCAGCTGGAAAAGCAACTGAGCAAAGGGAAGCAGACACTGCTTTGTATGGTTAATACCTCAGACAGAGGTATATGCTGCACAACAGGATGGACCTCCAAGAAGAGCTGCAGGTGCTCCCAAGGACCATATTTTTATTAACAGGGCAGCAGAAAGCTGACAGCCCAGTCTGACCTGCACCAAGTGGGCAGCATCACACCCACCTAGAAGCCTGGGGGGATTGCTGGGATCACCTGAAACCCAATTCCAGCTGCCTGCTGTCACTGCACAAATTAATCAACATCATAATTAAGTCTGAGCATCCGTGATGAAAAACCGAGGCTGTTTCTGGGCCAGCTGGACCATCCCTTGGCTTGGGAGGGGCACTCACCACCAAGCCCTGGTCGTCCAGGTTGGTGATCATGTCCACCAGGTACGTGCGGAGGGCAGACAGCTTCTGCAGTGCCTCCGTCCAGTGTGCCTGCTGTGTCAGGATGCTCTGCTGTGCCCGCTCCTCCTCTGCGTGCACCTCCTCGAGCAGCCGCTGCTCCTCGTTCTCACACACCTTCCCCACCAAGATCAGCCTCTGGATGACCAACTCTCGTGCGCTGTTAGCGGCGCTCTGCCAGGGAAAAGAGAGGAGAAACAACTGCAACCCAAATGAACACCCACAGCCCCCGAGGGCTCAGCTTTTCACATTGCCCTGTTAACTGAGCCCACGCCACAGCAACAGTGATGCAAACAGAGGTGAATGGGACAACCGACCCGAAGCCTGCAGACCGCCTGCTGGCCCAACCAGCACACAAACTAATTGCACACTGACCACTAACCACTGCAGAAGGGGAGCAACGACAGCCTGCTCTGCCTGGGTCCCAAATGCCAGCCCTCCTCTGAACTGCCAGGAGTCACCATCAGCAAAAAACAGTGCTGACCACAATAGCTGTCTTCATTCTCAGGGACAGTAAAGCACAAAGCAGAGCAGGACAGGATGAGATGCCATCCCTAGGTGGGGTGACCACACTGCAGCCTTTCAGTACCTAAAGGGAGCCTACAAACAGGAGGGGAATCAACTCTTGGAAAGGGGAGATAAC